CAAGACAAAAATCAATCTCTGCTCAGAATAAACGACAAAAGAAGCTTAGTAGAAGAAATAGAAACCCCAGGAATGGTAACAACTCATCACAGAGGAGACTTGTGAATAGAAACCTAAAAGGTCTCTAATCTGGACATTTTCCACACCAACTCCCACAAAATATTATGTTGCCAATACTAAAATTCTAAAGTATTAAATGCTAAAATAGTGTGGCAAACTAATATTACACAAATCTGAGGGGTATACCCCATAGTATGGCCACCAGTCCTTCCATGACAAGTACAGTCAGCAAACCAGGTCTTCAGTGTACCCTAACATGCTGTAATGTGCTTTATCTGGGATGTCTCAGTAACCCTCACAGCAAAGTGAAGATAAAAAATAAATAAAAATGAAGACACCCCTGACATATTGGGTGTTGGCATGAAGACTAATTTGCTCATGTTTTCTCAACACTTTGAAAGCATCATCTGGCTAATAAAAGATACTGTAAGTGGGTACTTAGTTTTCCCCTGCAAGAAACACATAAATCCCTCTGTGGAGGTAGTATATATCCCATAAAAATAAAGGCATTTCAGAGGCAAACATTTGAATTAATTTAGTCTGTTTATTTCAAAATAGATGAATGGAAGAGGAAAAGTAGCCATAATGGATTAAAAAAAAAAAAATACATTTGCAGATGGATGTGAACTGTGAAATGCATTGCACAATGAAAGAATGAACTGTAACAAAACAGAAGCTTTTATCAAAAGCTATAAAGCTGATTCAGATGATTCCCAACAAGTATATTAATCCAGCTCTTGCAAAGCAGCTGTTGTTATCACAGACTCCCCAACGCCAAAGTGGATACCACAGAATGGCTTAGGTTGGAAGGGACCTTACAGCCCATCCAGTTCCAGCACCCTGCTACCCAGTTGCTACCCAGTAAATCAGGCTGCCCAAAGCCCCATCCAACCTGGCCTTGGATGCCGCCAGGGATGGGGCTTTTCTGAACAGCCTGTGCCAGGGCTTCACCACCCTCTGAGTAAAGAATTTCTTCCTAACCTAATTCCTTTTAAGCTTATACTCATCCTGGATGTGTATGATTATGACTGTTTTAATCCTGAACAAGAAATAGTAATAAATCACATGCTTACTTGTAGTTTCATGAAAGACAGAGTTGGCAACTTACATGGAAGAAGTTTCACTGTGTAAAGAACACATCAAAATAGAGGAAATATTTCCAATAGGTAAACTGCAGGTTTGTGACTTCTTTCTACTGATGTACCAGGAGAATAATTAAGAAACCCCATTTTTCAAACAGGCAGAAGATGACTCCAGCTTACTCCATCTAAGGAAAAAAGCATTTCTAAAGACAGTGTTGAGATATGCTAAACCCTAGGAGGAGTACTAAAATGAGTTGTGAACCCAAAGTTACCAATCACAGGAAATTCTTGGAAGAGAAAGGCCTGAATGAAAAGCTGGGGACAGCTTGGGTACACACATTCCAACTCAAGATTCCCTTTAGTGATAGCTAAACCCAAGACATGCACTTCACTTCTGGATCTCAGCCACAAAGCTATGACACCATCTGTCAGCTGGATTGCTGGAGGAAGCAGAGAAAATCTCAGAGCTGATCTAAGGCACTGCTAGATATAAGTGTGTTCTTAATATATTGCTTCCTGCCTGCCTCTAATTATAGGAACTGTGTTGTTAATATATGGACTTCCATATGCAGTTTGTTCCATCGTTTTTACCTTGTCTTTACACTGCCTTAGGGATAGCTGCAATGTATTTGGTAAATACTCAGACATCTCCCTGGTAGGGCACGACATGATAGTCCTCAAGTCCATCTTACTGCTCTATTTCACAGAGCCTGCTGTGACTTCCAGTTTTTACAGGCAGCTACACAGCTATAGGCATATCCCCAGTAAGCTTAACAAACCAATTTTGGAGCTGGTAATAGGTGTTGATGTGGAAGAGATGTCTTTCTGTGATTACTTTCGGTAGAAGCTCATTAGCATTCAGTGAGACAGTTGAGATGGTGCATGCACACTGAGGGATCACAGCACATGGAGAATTAGCAAAACCGCAAAGGGTGTAACTCATTTACAACTGGACTGCTCTAGCACCTTCATTATTGCACTAATAATGAGTAGGTTTTATCCTTTCAGACAAAAAAGATGCACCCTTAGCAGTATGCCTGACATTCTTCCAGTTCTGCCCTAAACAAAATGGCACAGTTTTGCTCTTTGTTCACAGAAATAAACCTCACAATATCCAGTTACGTTGGACTCGCGCTCATTCCTTAAGCATTCCAGTCCTTCAATAAGAAACCTAAACTACACTGCAGCAAGATATTACAGCTCTCGAGCATCATGCCCTCAAATCTCTGTGTTCTCTGTTTCCTAAGGGTGGCAGCTCTGGCCTCATTTAGATCCTTGCAGCTTTGACAGCTTGGCACACATACACGAAACGTCTTAGCCGTGCAACTGGAATAAAACTATCTGTAAAAATTCATCAAGGCTATGCTCACAGAGATTTGCACTGTGGCAGAGAAGTACTTGCAGGGGAATATGCATGGTAGTGAAATCCTGAGATTTACATATAAAATACCAAGATGGTGAATATGCACAAACACAGAGGCTAAGCTTACGACTTAAAATCCAAATGCTGGAATCAGCCACGCTGATGGTACAGGAAACTGCACATAACACAGCAGTTAAAATATATGAAATTTGTTTTATTATTCACAGTTTTAAATTTTATTTAAAGGCACATGGTATGATTATAGCACTGGAATGAACTTCACTAATTGTGACGAGAACTTACTTCTTCCAGCTGTAAAAACACAGCATGATTTTGTGCAGACTATTTACTGGAGTAGACATGGCACTCAGGGACATGGTTCAGTGGGCATGGTGGGGAGGGGATGGCAGTTGGACCTGATGGACTTACTGGGTTTTCTTCAACCTTAATGATCCCATGATTCCTATATAACTATTAAATGGTCCTCTAAGATGCATAGAATCAACACTGAATGCTAACTGATCTGTATGCCAAGGGGAGACAAACGCCGTATTTTATATGGTAACATTGACAATTCCAATGATGATATGCATTAGGTTAAATTAAAGTGCCCCTACAGTTGCGGCAATCAAAGTGAAATCAGAAGTCAGGCTAGAAGATATATAAAAGCAGTGATACTCGGTCATACATATTGGAAGGTAATGAACACAAGGAGGGGAAGAGGGAAAATTAATAGGAAGAAATTAAAGCAGAAAATAAAAATGGGAAAATAGGACAAGGTTGTGAGGGGAAAAAAAAAAGAGAGAGAGAGAACTCTTCACTCAAGGATACATAAAATCAGTTTTGACAAGTAGAGTATGTGCTGAAAGACACAGTTCTGATTTTGAGATAGTGATTCTCAGGCTTATTTCTTGGAAAAATGTGATCTGCTACTCCTAAGACCTTACCTTTAAGAAGAGAGCAGCTCCGTATACATTTAAGGTGCAGTTTAATTATGCTTTACAGTCAATTAAAAGACTAGCATAAATGAACTGTGTTTTGAGAAGTATGCTTGCACCACAAGATGGCTTTTGAGCTTTCTTCTTTAAAAAGTTGTTTTTGTTAACCTTAACGCTAAGCAAGAATCAGGTACAAAAACTGATTTACCACTATGACAGCTGCAATGTTACACGAACATACTGTTAGCTGTTCTACACATTATTTAAAACGCTTCGTATCATCTGCACCACAAATATGACAGGGCCACAGCGCTGTCTGATATCCTAACCGGAATGCCAACCGCTGAACAACGCTGTTTAACCTCTCGCAGTAGAGCCACAAGCACCCTCATTACTGGTGACTAATGATTTGAAGTACTTCCATTTGTCTTGCTCGGAACACTTGAGCAGGATAGCACTAACACTATGCTACAAACATATCTTTTGAAAAATTACACCCCATTACAACGCCTCAAGACCAGCAAGAAAAGAAAAATCAACCCAGTCTAGATTAGTAATTAAAAATTTGCATCTCAGTGAAATATTGAGGTCACACTGATAACTCATACAATAACCTATAATCAGCAGCACAGTGTTCCTTTATTACTAGGTGGCTGATCATTGTTTCAGCTCCCTAAGCAGCAACGAGGAATAATTTGATGACTCACTCATGTTTCTGAGGATTCCTTGAGCTGTAAATGCCTCAAGCATGAACAGCTTCACTAGGCTGCTAGTAAAGTAGCTTACAAAGCAAAACCATGATTTTTCCTCAAACAAGGATAGTTTGTTTATGCTTTCCTTCTGTTATTCTTGAATGGTTGTTTTTTTCATAAATAATAAAGAACAGCTAATTTTTTAAGCATACACTGAGGATCAGCATCAATATACGAGCATTACACACTATGTGAACCTAAAAATAAATTCTCCTGTTAGTAATGAAAGCAGTGACTAGAGCAGATGGCTAGTCTACAGTGTTATACAAAAAAATGGAAGATAGCACTCCATTTACTCCTAAATGATAGCAGAACATGAAAATAATTTTTTTCATATCAGCACATTTTCCAACAGAGCCTCACTAAGAATGGAATTGCAAATGTATGTAATGCAATGCATTGAAAAATAATCAGAGCATTCATTTAGCAGCAAACAGTGAATTCATTACCAGCTTGATAAGAGACTCAGTCCTGTGACGCACGCTAACATAACTGTATTTTTAAAGATATAATCTGCAACTGTGTTTTTGTATCAGCATGAGAGAGGATTTTTAAGCACAGATCTACAGGGAGGGGGAAAAACACTCATTAAAGCTCTTGCATGAATTAGTCTTTCCAGAAGGCAAATTCTTGTAATTGTCACAGGGAATTTAATAGGGCTGTGGAGTCTATGGAATGCTGTATGAAAGCTGCTAGTAAAGATCGAAGAGAGAATTAACTCATGCATTTATCCAGCAGCCAGCAACGCTGGCCTGATGAGCACTGGGATGCTCCAACGCTTGCAGCTTTCAAGAAAGAGCAGGGGCACCAAGGTCTCACCCCAGCACACCCCATGCTGGGGACTTTCCAGGTCGTAAAGGCTTGTTTGGCAAAGGCTGGGGGGAACTCCAGCATTTCAGAGAAAAGGCATCCAGTTGACATGCTGGCAAGAACTGCCTTTCAGGAATGTCCACTGGGAACGAATGGCATTCAAAATAACTGATTACAAATGCTGGTGCTTTACTTCCTCTTATATATACCTAATAGCTCACAAAAGATGTTAACTCTCTGTGCACTGGAATGAAATCAGACCCAACTCACAGAGGGTAACCCTCCCCTTGCAGAACTGCTGTCCTGTAGATGGCTGTTAAGGTAAGAAGTTCCTGCAACCACAGACCTACCTGTGGGTATCAGAAGGGTTCCTCATATATGGTTCAACGAAACAGTATCTGCAAGTTCCTTACACAGTGTTATGGTGAAAGTCAAGCTGATGGCATGCACTGCCTCGGGGGTGAGAACTGGGCTTGTCCAAGCGTGGGGAAGGAAAGGCTGAGGGATTATGCAATTGCTGTCTTCAATTACTTTAAACACACCTATAGAAAAGGTGCCAGATTCTTCCTGCAAGTTCACTGAGAAAGGACAAGAGGCAACAACTGCAAGTCATAACAAGGGAAATTCCAAAAAGATGTTGGGGGAGGGAGGAAATTACAGTAAGAATGGTTAAGTTTAGGAGCGAATCAATGAAATCTTAACTCCTGCAGATACTGAGTCTGTAAAACACTGCGATAGGATCACGTTTGTGTGGTGAGCAGAAGAAAGGATTAACTTCATTAGTTGTGCAATGCTAACAGCTGTAACCTGCATACAGTTTGTCATTTCTTAAAACAAAACAAAACAGTGCTATTCCCCCTCTGAATCTCTACCAGGGAACATATGGATACAAAATACTTTTATTATTCTTTACTTCATGCTATCCCCTCGTGCAGTTACAAACCAGGTGTATTAAATGGATCACAAACTCAAGATAGAAATGCCAAAAGTATACTGACTGTGTATAGCAATCACCAAGAAGAAAATAGGTACATTCAGACTTCACTGTGCACCTTGTCTTAGTGTGCTGAGAACTGACTTTCAGACACTGAGGGCGATACTGGAGAAAATGCTTAGAAACATTGTTTTTGCCCATAGCATAAATGAACTTGCCTTCTTAAGGGACTAAATCTCTGCAGTATCTTTCTTCCCTTGCATTTCACATATTGTCTTGTCCTCGGGGGACCAGAAGCATTAACTTTAAATATGAAGCAGACAGTGAAAGTCTGATATACTGACATTAATTACTGGCCATGCAGTGTCACCTAACTAACAGCTTGAATTTTAGAAGTTTCAGTGCCTGGTTAAAAATAAGCACTCAGAGAACAGTAACTAGGATACAGCACAATTTACATGTGTTTGAAATTTGAGTCTTGACAGTTAACTAACCTAAAGTCAAAGAAAAAAAACACCAAATCTGACCTGACTGTATGAATGTCAAGAAGATGGAATTTAATATATCATCTTATTAATCCTGTAAAACAGTCCTTTTATAAATAATTCTATGCCTAGTGCACAATCCCTAGAATATGGGTAGACCTTGTTTCTATTTCAATGTCTAGACACACATACTGATTAAGTTAGGCTTCCAATTAAATAACCTCTGACTTCCATTAACACATGCCCTGATCCTTCACTGTACCACTCCAGCTAAGCAGTCACCTGTCTTACCTCTGAACTTCATCAGGCAGGGCTGGTGCAGCATGGAGATCTTAGAAAATGTCTTCTCAGGTGGCAGCATGCAGGCACTTGAGATTTTGGCCTAGAAGAGGCAGCATCAAATTGGCAAGCATCAAAATCAATGCTGAGAGTACTTGCCTGAAGGAAAAACCGTACGTGTGAACTTTCTTGTGTATCTCATCCCTTGTATGACACTTCTGTTGATGTCAGTAACAAACTCAGTGAAAATGCAACTGGTCTTTAATTATTACAGGTGCTGTATTTCACATGCATCGTGGTAGCAACTCAAGGTCCTTTCCACAAGGATGAAACTCCAAATAATAAACTATCCTTAGGTTCTGTTTCAACAGGTTTATTCATATTAACTTAGATATAATAAAGGCACAGTGAAAAGGACTAATGTCTGTGGGTTAGAAATTTACCACACAGAATGGCCTGGGTTGGAAGGGACCTCAAGGTCACGAATCTCCAACCTCCCCCTGCCACAGGCAGGGCCACCAACCTCCCCATTTAATACCAGGCCAGGCTGCCCAGGGCCCCATCCAACCTGGCCTTGAACACCTCCAGGGATGGGGCATCCACAACCTCTCTGGGCAGCTGTTCCAGCACCTCACCACTCTCATAGTAAAGACCTGAATTTAGTTAGCTGGAAGACTGCCACAACGCCATGATGTGACATGAGGACAAAACCTGCTGCCCTCTCAGTTTTATGGCACTAGAATGAGCTCCACCTGTGCTGGTGTCAGAGATTTTGCAGTTATGATACTAAGTTTTCAGACTAGTGTCCCATCCTCCCAAGCAGCTTTTACTTGTATCCTCATTCCATGACTTGTCTACTTCATAGATCACAGTTTCCCAACAGAGATACTACTTAGTTAAGTAATAAAGCATTAAATTGTTGTAGATAACCCCCAAACATACTGCAAAATGCTTCTTACTCTCTGGCCTACCTTTTGTTTGGGGCCTCTGTGTTTTGCTAGGCTGGATGGCCTGCTACTTGAGACTTTGGCAGCAAGTTATCTCAGCTTAACGGTAAATGGAGTCAAACCAGAGCACAGGAGATACTGCCCTTCTTTTGGCTTTGCCTCTCAAACAGCTGCTGCTGCTTGCTGCTAGATACATCCGTCCCTCATTTTGCCCTGTAAAACAGAACTAAAAATTACATATATTTCCCACACACGTTTATATATATATCAAATGACAAAAGAGGATGAATTGTTTCTGAAGCCTTGCACAAGGGGAAAAAAAGACAAGAAAATGGCTCATGTAAATCTAACAACTGGTCATTTATATTCAGGTGAAATCCATAGTTGCATGTCCAGCCTTCCCTATATCATCTCTTTTCATTTCCCAGTTCCTAGTGCAGGTTCCAGTTTCCCAGCACTCAGGTTGTCTTTCAGTCTGTTCGCTCTCCAGTGCTGCTCTTCTTTAACAAATGTAAGGGTCCCTGAGCCAGCTCCAAGTCAACCCAACAGAGACTAATACTCCAATCCCCACCACTGAAAGTTCTGTCTGCTATCTAGGTTCCATTTTCATAGTGACCTTTGCCAGTACTCACAGCAACGTATCTATAGGTACACTAAGTGAACGTACACGAACGTTTGTTAGAGCAGATGGCTTCGCAGGCTGTTGCAATCCTTCCACCTTCTTATCAGCTTTGTCTTCTGTTCTCTCTGGGCTACATTTTCAAGTCAGCTGCAATCCCACAGTAAGTTCTCGTTAAGTGTTGTTGTTTCAGCTCTGCAGAGTTCCTGCAGGTTTGGTTATCTGTTAACTAGACTGACAAGTTAATTAAGATGTGCCAAAACTTTGATTTTTATTTATTTATTTTTTTTAAATCCCCTTCTCCTAACGGACACCCGCCTACAAAATTACTGATATCCATCCCTTAATTGCTGTAGGATCAGTGCTCAAGTCAAACAAGAGGTGTGTGTTTGTGCCTCCTCCGGGCTCTGCCACACCTCCACCAGCAGCAGCCCCTGCCTGGAGCTCACACGAGCACACCATTCCCCCCACTAAGAAGGGCATCACTGAGCCCAAGCTGTTTCCATGCTGCCACACAATTTCTGCACCAGCTTAGCGCAGAATTTCTCATAGCTTTCCCACTCACCCAAAAGGTTCCCGACGCAGGGACAATAGGAAGTACGGGTGAAGAAAGCACGGGACACAGCGCAATCAGCGCTTCATATTTAGAACCCGGCAAGGCCCGTGCGAACACACGGAGCAGCAGAGGCTCACTTAGGCTTTGCTCAGCGCACCCGCACGGAGCCAGCGAGCGGTTCGTTCCCCCGCTGCAGCCCGCACGCCCGCGGTCGGCCGGGAGCTGAGGGCAGGGCTCTGCTGAGGGCAGGGCTGAGCCGCGGCCCGAGCCGCCCCGGGGCAACGCTTTAAGTAGAGCCGCAAAGGGCCCGAGCACACGCTAAGAAACGTTCCTCCAAGAACCGCAACCCACGCGACCCTCGTCCCACAGCGCAGCATTACGGAAGACGGCCACCGCCACACCGCCGCCCCAGGAGCCGCGCGGAAAGCTCGGCAGCGCCCCGCGCCACCATGAGCGACGGCGGCGGCAGCCAACGGGAGGAGCCGGTGGGCGGGCCGTTCCCCCGTCCCCGCCCCTCGGCGGCGGCGCAGCGGGGCCGGCGCGGCGCGGCGCGTGGCGGCCACGGTCAGCGCGGGGGAGGGGGCCCCGGCGCATGGAGGCGATGCCGTGCCACAACCAGCGGCTCGGCGCGGCCGGCGGCCCGCGGCCCCAAGACGAACAGACGGCGCCGGCGGGCGGCTGCTCCCGGCTGATCCGTTTCGCCGAGCCCTCCGAGGGCAGCGGCAGCGGCAGCCCCAGCCCGGACAGCAGCAGCGCCAGCAACGGGGCGGCGGCGGTCCCCAGCCCCGCGGCGGAGGAGTGCGCGTCGCCGCTCGGAGCGCAGCTGAAGCTGCTGCCCATGAACGATCAGATCCGGGAGCTGCAGACCATCATCAGGGACAAGTGAGCGGCCCCGCGGGGCTGGGACGGAGACGGGGACGGAGACGGGGGTGGGGTCGTACCCGCGCTCCCCCCGGGCGGCCCCGTCCGGCGGAGCCGTTCGGAGGGCCGCGTGCTCCCGGCGGGGCTCCCGCGGCGCTGCGCAGCGCCTCCCGCGCGGCCATTGCGGTGACGTGCCGCGGGGCGGGGGCGGCCGTTCCCCGACGCCGTGCGGCGGCGCCGCGTTCCCGGCAGCTCCGGGCGGGGCCGCCGGCCGCGCGCCCCGCGTCGCATCCTTGCTCCCGGCGCTCACCCACCGTTCCGGCAGCTCCCGCAGGATGCTCGCCGCTCCGGCCGCTCGGGGAGCGCCGCCCTTAACTGACGGCCGGCCCGCTCCGCCCCCGGCCGTGAGCCCTCCGTTCCAAACCAGAAGCGCAAAAATGAATGCAAAATGGTGCCCCTGTGCCGAATGTGCAAAGTGAGGTGCTCAGGACGTGGTGATTCAGTGCGCCGTGATCGGCTGCCCTGGCAGTGGGAGTGTACCTCCCTTGGTCACGTCTGTATCTGCTTGGCACATGGAAGGTGATACTATAGTGTATTAAATTTAGCGTGCAACGTAAGACGAACATACATAGCGGGCATCTATTAAAAGCACGATTTGCCTGCTGTGATGCGAGCACCACCACTGGACCCAGAGGTGAGCAGCGTGGGTTGGTAGCGTTCAGGTTCAGAATGAGCCCTTGTGCCCTGCATCCTGCTGCCTGCTGATGTCAGCAAAGCTCACACCGCACGGCCGTGCTTCTGCCCCTCATTTTTTCTGGCCACCAGAAATTAACACCTTTATGATACGAGGTTTGAAATCTGGTGACAGCTTTCCAGTTGCAGCTGCACAAAGGCTCTGTCGTTTTCATAATTATTTGGGTCTCATTTTTGTGCACGCCTCTGCAGTTCTCTGTTGTCTTTCGTCCCTTCAAAGCCGGGCACAGCTGGCTAAGGCGGCTCTGTGAACCAGCTGTGAGAGCATCCAAGTCTCTGTGCAAGGTCAGGGTAACTAAAGCCTAGTATCTTGTATTCATTCATAGCGTTCACTCTGAATGTGCATCGCTTTGCAAACAAAGGTGTGACACAGGTGTTTCCACCCTTGAATGGAATTTAGGTAAATTTTCTGAAATGCCACAGTCCAGCCTGGAGAAAACTCATAATACACCACCTGCACTCCTTGCTACTTGCTGTTAGTTTTCTGGGTTTGCGCTCACTACTGTTGGGAATATGAATCCCTTTCAAAATCCTAACAGAAGCATTTTATATGATGGCTAGGCTTGTCTTGTTTGGTGGGGTTTGTTTGAGTACTGGTTCCGATTAAGTCAAAGAAGGAAAAAATTAGGCAGAGCCTGTCATTCCTGGAAAGAACAAAAAGAGTAACAAGCAGCATTTGAAATAATGAATAACATGTAGTGCACAAGGAGAAAGATGAGGCTGCCAGTCTGCTTCAGACTGTCTTCTAGCATGGCTAGCTGTGTGTGCACAGGGACTGGGCATGCAAACGTCTTGGCTTTCACTCACGTGAACATAAGATGTTGCAGAACCTTGGGGTTTGAGTGCACAACTCTCTGTACAGTGTATCAGGGTATCATAGTTTGACAGTGAGAAGGGTGTAACTGCTGTGCATGTGATGTTAATTTGGAGGATTTTTGTAAGGCCAATAGACTGTAAACATCGGCTCCTTGACCACATCTTGACATGGGAAGCAAGGTGTTAAAACCTGGTCTTACTTCTCTCGAGCTTTCAACGTGGCATATTTGCACAGTGTGCGGCAGGAAGAGGTGAGCCCATTCTTCCTGTCTTCTGAATGGGCCAGAAGCCAAGCAGGCACGTTGGCAAGAAGTTTCATCCAAGCTGTAGGCCAGCAGAGAGGTGTTTTTGTGGTGGTATTTGTGCATCCCTGCTCATTTAGTCTCAAGATCACTGGTCTAATCTTATGTTTTCGTTGTCCCATGGTTTGAGTGATGTAAGAGCAAGCGAAGCAAAGATCTCCTGCTTAAAGATGCGGAACATTTATCAGGCTGCTGAGATCTGAGCTTCTGAGGTGCTGGAGCTGAGCTGGAACAACCACCAGAATATCAGCCTTATGTTTTCATGCTTTAATTGCTGCTTACACAGTGCAGCAGCATTACCAGCAGAAAGAGGCCAGGCCCTCGGTAGTTTCCAGCCCCTCAGCCTCCTCCACCCCCCACAGAACCCATGAAGCAGGATCCCTGCAGGATGAAGTTGGAATCCAGCAGGAAACTTTTCTATAAACTGTCCCTGGAAAATATTGTCCTTGAAGAACTGCCATAATTAAGCAATATCCTTAAAATTATTCCCCGATTTAAAACAGAAATTGTTCCCTTTTTCAGGACAGCCAGTAGAGGAGACTTCGTGTTTTCTGCTGATCGTCTGGTAGGTGAAGCATTTCTTCTTCTTGGTGTTGTGCTTTGTAACTGATAAAATGGATCTTTCAGGCAAGAATAATGGTGTGAGAGGAGCTTCTCCAAACTGGAAACTGCAATTGGGCTGCAACTTTCTAAAGGACTTCTGTTCCTTGTTACAGACTCGTCTCAGAGGGTTCCAGAAACTGTTGATACCAAGTACAACTGCCTTAGGACAGCAAGAAGTAGCAATAAGAGAAGACTGTTTAAAAAGAGATGCGCAGAGGCTAAAGATAGCTCTGTGTTAGTGTGAAAAAGCACTTCTGATCTTGTGAACAGATCTGTACCATTTCCTGCAGTCTAGATATTAGCAACTGACTGCATGCAGAAGTGCCTCCTGGCGCGTATGTGTGAGATGAGCCACCCTGTGTGCACCCACAATGGGCATCTGCCTTTAACCATGGGGTAGATACTGGCAGAGAGAAAGCAGTTTGAAGGTTGTGTGTATTGTAGGAAGTCAGAACAAAGATTGTTGGGAATGCAACATTTATCTCGTGTAAATTAGGTGCTTACAACACCCACTCCCACACCTATACTGGTATTCATGAGGGTTTCCTGTTTGCAGATGCACACTCGTTAATGAGAAAAGCCTTTCTTTCCTCCTCTAACAAAGATCAGTTCAGGGAGCATTCAGCATCTACCAACACCAAACCAGACAGGTTTAGCCCAATCTTAATCCATGCCTGATCTAGGCTTGCTCAGGGCTTCCCTGTGCCCACAGCTGAAGGCTGTGACTGCAGCACGTTTTATCGCTGCAGCTTTTCTAGCTTTCCCCTCTACTTTTCCCTTCTTGAGGATGTTTCTGACATTCCCATTCTCCAGGAACAGTAAAGGCCCAAGCCAACAAAACTCATCCCTGTAACTGCTGGATCAAGTCACCAACTGGAGCATCCTTCTTTGCCAATAGTGCTTCATAAGGAACAGGCAGAAAGTCACAGTCCCAGCTTTGTTCTGTGCTAGCAGTTCTCAGCAGACACTGTTTAAACAGACATAATGTCCTTCGTGCTGTCGAACAAGTTGGAACAGCACAGGAAACATCCACAGATTGTGAAAGTCTGAGCTCAAGTGTGGGCCATCCTTCCTGTTTTTTTGTTTTGTTTTGTTTTGTTTATTCTGTGGCTTTAACTTCTTCATTTGCTCAAATGTGCGAATAAGATGAAGAAAGCCAACAAAGGCCAACATCAGCAATGCCACACGTTTAAAGGGTACAGATCTCCAGTCCGGGTGCCAGGCCCCTTCCCATTCAGTACTGCTGTCAGTAGGGGTTTCTGGCTAATGTTCTCATTTTACCTCACACTGGGTTCCCACCACATAAGAACAGCCCTTCCTGTCAACTTTAACGTTGGTGCAGAAGGAAAATGAGAATAAAATTAAGCTTGCTACTAGCTGGCAGTTGCTAGTGGGAAGTATTTTGTAAGGTGACGTTAGGAAGAGGGCTTAAGGAGCAATTTTAAAGGTGATGGATTGATAGTGGTAGAATTTTTTCTTTTGCCAGTTTCTTATACAAGGGGATGGCATGTAAGAAATACTCAAAGATACTTGGAGGACAGGTTAGCAAATGGCTTCTGAAACTGACTGCCAGTGTTGAGGTCCTGCAGCTGCAAGGGAGAGGTTAAAGTCTTGAGGAAGACAACCCATCTTGTGTCTGTGAGGGAGAAGCAGGTGAGGGAAGGAAGCCTCTAGCGCAGGAAATGATCAGTCATTGTAACCTGTGGTAAGAGATAGCTGAGTAGAGTGCCCTGAAGGTGCTGCGTGATTGTGCTGAGCCCTCAGACCTGTGCTGCCCCGCAGCCACACATTGCACAGGCGTTTTGTTGA